CTAACTCTGTATTCTCTAAACTTTATATATTAATATTAGCACCAACTAAGTACTTAGAACTTTTGTTGTGTTAACTCACATAATGGAGCCACCAACACTATCAGCCATCACAGAACTTTTCCTCTTTCTCAAAAGAAACTCTGTGCCCACTAAATCTCTCCTTTTAGCCCCCTAAATGCCTGATAATCATTCCACTTTCTGTCTTTATGATTTTTGACAATTAAATACCTGATATGAATGGAATCTCATACAGTAAGGTTCCCTGAAAGTAGATCACCATGTGGTTCAGGCAGAAATGAATTTATTGGAGGAAGAGAAAACCGCTAGCCCATGATGGAGGTGAGATTATGTAGGGACAGGCAGGAAGGCATGACCACAGCAGAAGTTGAATTGACCTCAGAGCCTGGGGAACCTCTCATTGTCCCTAGGAGGCATGACTGGGTGGTTCAGGAAGTAATCTCAGAGGATGAGGAAGTGACCTCACCCTGGGTCCTTTGCTGACTCACAGGCAGGTGATTGACAGTGAGGTGATTACTGGCTTCCAGCAGGTGATTTCTGGTAATGCAATGTGCTGTCCTTCACAAACAGGAAGAGGGCAAGAGTCTGTTCTCCTGAGCAGATCTAACACAAAAGGCTTATCCTTTAAATGCGGGGCATATATCTGCATAATGGCTTCATGTGTCAGAATTCCATGCCTTTTTACAGCTGAATACTATGCCATTGATGAGCATATCACGGTTTGCTTACTGCTTCATTTGTGACAGACATCTGGGGAGTTTTCAACTTCTAGCTCTGGAAAACACTGGTGTTTGGCTGTCTGTTTGAGATCCTGCTTTTCTTTTTTAATAAGTTTTTCATCGTGAAAATACTGTACAGAGGCGTTACAGTTACATGAACAAGGTAATGAGTACATTTCTTATCCAGCATTTTTGCCTCCTCCTTTGTTTTTTCCCTACCATCCTTGCCCTCCCATCTCCACAACTAACCCCCCACCCCGCCGCCCCGCACCTAAATTGTAAGTTCATTTTTCAACATAGTGTCTTGTATGTAGAGCTACCTCAGCCTCGTAAGGATATGCCAACATATCCAGCTGATTTTGTTTTAATGACCTTTATATATTGATGCGCTTCAGAAAACACTGCACTACGTATTAACTTGTGTTCTTGTTACATCCTAGTTATTCTTCTAGAATCCACATAATAGTTCAATCCTTTCAAAATCCTGTAAAATACTATGCCTATTTCATGGATAAATAGATGAGACTTCATTCATTCGGTGAATGGACTTAATACCCATTCATTAATAAGCAAAAACATCAGTATTTATTGCTTTACTTTTAACCATTTAAGGATATCAGTATCCACATTAAATATCTTTGAAATAATATTTTCCACTCCATTCCTCCTCTAGTCACTTTCTCCTCTTCCTCAGAGTTGGTGATATTAAGATGTCAAGAATAGGCTGGGAAGATGGCTCAGTGGTAGAGCGCTTGCCTTGCATGCATGAGGCCCTGGGTTCGATTCCTCAGCACCACATAAGCCAAAAAAAAAAGCCGGAAGTGGTGCTGTGGCTCAAGTGGTAGAGCGTTAGCCTTGAGCTGAAGAGCTGAGGGACAGCGCCCAGGCCCAGAGTTCAGGCCCCACGACCGGACCCAAAAAAAAAAAAAAAAAGAACAAAAAAAGCTACAACTGTTTGAGAAATAATGTCCATAGTATCTGAGAGAAAAGAACAAAAAAAGCTACAACTGTTTGAGAAATAATGTCCATAGTATCTGAGAGAGAACTGAAGCATCAGTCTAAGGTAAAACACATGAACTTAAGTGCTGACCTCTCAGAATATCTATTTTGGTCATTCAATAGGACCCACATTGCTTAATTTCTAGATTTTTTATTTTCTGGCAAAGTCAACTTTTATGACTGACTTCTGCACAAGGCTCCCTTTTATGCTACTTATTTTGTGAAATATAATGTAATTTATATAATTTTAGAAAACATGCTTGTCCAGAGGCAATAAGTATCTTTCCAGTATCTGTTACTCTAAAATTTATACTACATATTTTCATAGTACAGCCAAAGACAGAATCATGGAAAAGGGTTTTGGTGCTAAAGGTATCTGATCCTACATCAAAGCTATTCCAACAATAGATTACAGCAATCATTAATATTTTGTATCTTACATGTATTTCCCAGAAGTAGTAAGCAAGAGTTGAGTGACACAAATAATACAAAATATTAAATATCTAACTCTCAAAAAATAAAATTTATTTATTTCAATGTTGGAGATGTTAGTGGTTGAATACATTTAGCAGTGAGTCCTACTAGATGTCAAGACCCCCTCCTTTATTTTTTAAGTGAATCACACACAGACCATATCATTGTCTTTTTCTATAAACTTAAATTTTGATACCACTATATCCATTAAGAAGTAGGTGATCAATATAAGTTTTGAACAATCAGATTTACCATTAATTTCCACTTATAAACTCCAAGAAATTTTACTGCAGAAAAATCAGAGGGTGAAGATAAGGAAAACAAACTAGCGATTTGAACTAGCAGCTGGAGAATGTCTAATATCTTCTGATTCGAGGAACTTGTGGCTAGTAAACACAGCTGAAAGAAAAGAAACAAAGCCTTCTGATAGTGCTTCCCCCAGATTTAAAGGTTTGACCAGACATATGGACCCAACACTTATCTCAACATAAGTTTCTGACTAAAAAAGTAATACAGCTAACAGCAATAAAAAAAGCCTTAAATTCTCATGATTCAACTAACATGTTGACTTCTTTTTTCTTGGGATCTCAAGTCCCATCCTATCTAACCTACAAACACACTGTAAACTAACTGTATTGGTTATATAAAACAAGGTCTGGGCTGGGAAGGTGGCTCAGTGGTAGAGTGCTTGCCTTGCATGAATGAGGCCCTGGGTTCGATTCCTCAGCACTACATAAGCAGAAAAAGCCAGAAGTGGCACTGTGGCTCAAGCGGTAGAGCACTTGCCTTGAGCTGAAGAGCTGAGGGACAGCGCCTAGGTCCAGAGTTCAGGTCCATGACTGGCAAAAAAATAAAAATAAAAAATAAAAATAAAACAAGGGCCTACACCCTCCGTGTTCAACTTTATCCACCTACTAAGTACTCAATCCCATTACATCTCCCTGAAGTAAGACTGTATTCTGCGTCTTCTTCTGAACCTTTATTATTTGCTTGTATCATTCATTTTAGTAAGACATTACATCAATTTGATGTTGTTTGGCAATTTTTGGTAGGTGTTTTGTAGGTGTTGGGTTCATTTTTTCATACCACTAAAGATGACTACCTATGTATCAACACTGACAAATCTTTTCCGATGAATTAGTATGAAAACAGTTTAAAGAAGAAAGTGTTGAAGGTGAGACATTCTTCAGAACTGGCTACATCATGACAAACTAGAGCAGTGCATGAACTGGATTGTGGGTAAGGCCCAGAGCCTGACTTTCTAGGGATTTAATTATCCTCACAAGGTAATAATTGTTTAGTTGGATAGGCATTATTGAAAGCTGATATGCACCCTCTTGATTTAAAGGTAGTTCTTCATATTTTGTGGCAGTCATGAAGTATTGCAAAGACATTCTTGGAGAAAGGCTTTAACATAGACAAACAGTGGAACTAAAGAGTTGGAAACAGCAAGACAGCTACAGGACTTTCATGGCAACAGTAAATGTAGGGTATGGAAAGTTTGGGCTGGACTTCAACTGGCCATTTTTCATCTACTAGAGATCAAAGAGAAGGAAGACAGGAAGAGAGAGAGAGAAAAGGAATAAAACAGAACCATTCTTCTGGAGCTTAATAAAACTAAGCAGATGTTTTTGTAAGTGTGAATCTCCAGAATTGAGAGCAAAGCCCCCCAGTGGACTGAGGTCCCCTGGGGGCGGGGTTCCAAGCCATCTGCAGTGGGACTCACAACCACTTCAGGTGAGATAGACCATGCGGAGGGCTTCCCGCCGTTGGCCAGCACGCCCGCAGGTGGACACAGATGAGCAATTACCTTCAACAATGGACTAATCGCCAGCAAAGACAACACTAGAAGGATATCCAAAAACTCCACCGCAAGTAAATTACAAGCAAGTGGTCACTCTGTCCAACGCCTTTCCCAGAGAGGTGACCCTCCTCCTGGCAACCACCACCACGGAAGGGCAGAAGAATGTCATTTTAATCCCCTTTCCTTGGCTTCAAAAACTCACTATGAAACCTACCTGGCTCAGTCTGCCAATCACTTTTGTACAGTTAGGGACTATTTCCTGGCTCCCTCCTTCCCTCCCTTCTCCTCTTTTCTTTCCTTCCTGATCTCCCCCCCTCCCCCATTTCACCCCTCACTCCACTAAGAGGCTTTCAGGCACAGGTGTAATGCATTCGCCAGCATTACCTGGCAGCTGAGAGTCAATCTCAAGCCAGCCACAGGTGAGTGGGGCGGCAGCAAAGAACACCACCAGGGCTGTCTCCATCCTCATTCGGCAGACTCTTTGGTAATTCATGTCAGCAGGAGGGCACGGGAACCTTTGGCCTGCCCTTTAGGGTTGACCAGAGCAGCCAAGCTGGAAGAGGAGATCCTCCCTTCGGCTTTTCTCGGCGGGCGCAGGGCGGCGCAGCGGCCGGAAGGGGTCGCTGTTCGCTCGTGGCAGGCGCGGGGCGGCCCGCACCTCCCACGGCCTGGCTGGCCCAACCCCGCCAAGTTCCAACAGCCCCCAGTGCAGCCAGCGAGCGAGCGAGCGAACGAGCGAGCGCCAGGAAGGAGCGAGCGAGCCCGGGCAGCCACGGACCACGCACACTAGCCGGGCTGGGACGCGCGCTGGAGAGGCTTCTGGGAAACTCTCAGCGCCCCGGGGACTTTGGAAAGAAGAGCGCGAGGAGCGCCACGCGTGCAAGTGTGCAAGAGCGCGCGACGCCCAGCACCTGTTCCTCGGCCACGCGCCCTGCCCGCGCGCCTCGGACCCGCGCCTGCCGTGCGCTCGGCCGTGCGCTCCCACCATGAACCCCGCACTGGGTAACCAGACCGACGTGGCCGGCCTGTTCCTGGCAAACAGCAGCGAAGCGCTGGAGCGCGCGGTGCGCTGCTGCACCCAGGCCTCGGTGGTGACCGACGACGGCTTCGCCGAGGGCGGCCCCGACGAGCGCAGCCTGTACATCATGCGGGTGGTGCAGATCGCGGTCATGTGCGTGCTCTCGCTCACCGTGGTCTTCGGCATCTTCTTCCTCGGCTGCAATCTGCTCATCAAGTCCGAAGGCATGATCAACTTCCTGGTGAAGGACCGCAGACCGTCCAAAGAGGTGGAGGCGGTGGTCGTGGGGCCCTACTGACCGGTCCTCCCGCTCCCCCCCACCCCACCCCGGCGGCGGGAGTCCCCAGGCCTCAATCCCCCCAACCCTCACTGCGCCCCTCGCCATCCAAGACCGGGCGACGCAAACCTGTCGGAGTCAAGTGTTTCTCTCGACTTCTGCTTTTCGAGATCAAGCGACCCGTTTCTCGCTCGCCCTCTGAAAGTCCCCGTGCCAGGCTGCGGGGAGGAAGAGAGCGCCCCGACTTCTGAACTCCGCAGCAGGTGGCAAAGAGGGCGATCGGGGCGCGCAGAACTTTGGAAGCCGCTGCTGGCGTGGGAAACGGCGAGACCCAGCGGCCGGAGGCCCTTCTCACCCGCAGGTGGGCCAAGCACTGGGGCAGCTGGAGAGGGGCGAGCGGGGCAGAGAGCCATGGGCACCCAACGCCTGGTGGCGGCCGGAAGAGTGACCTGTTTATACGCCACACAACAGACTTTTGGGGGACACACGAATCCATGTATGTGGATCCTCACTCCATAGCCCCCCACCCCAGCCCTGGTGGGGAGAGTTGATTCCTTGGATGGATTGTAACCTGTCGTTTTAAGGGATGCCGTGTTAGTTTGCTTGAATACCATAGTGGAGACGTCTTTTAGTGGCCTGTTTGCCTGCTTGCGGGTTAGAGTTTTGTCGTCCTGGGAGACAGGGTGGGGGGAGGGGAGGGGAGGGGAAGCCTGCGAATGTGAATGGTTTTCTTTTTGTGCATTTCTTCCTGGGTCTTTTAGGGAGTTAGAGGGTCAGGAACCAAGACCCAAAATAGAATTTCGTAGCTCGTGACTGCACGATTTACGCCACAAAAGTGCTCTTGATATACGTGACACCATTTTGACTTTTTTTTTCTTATTTAATGTTTCCTTAATAAATGCAACATTGAAGTGTGTTGTTTGTTCCTGCCTTTCTCGTCCTGGCCGAGGGGAACCGGCAGATGAGAGGAGTCTGGAGACCTGAGATTCAACTTCTAGATCCGCAGAGGGGCATGGGGCTGGAGGCAAAGGTGGGGGGAGAGCTAGCCATAGCCAAGCCCCAGGCACAGGAGCCAGGTAAGCAAGCGGGCACAGGGCCCCCAGGGAAGATGAAACTTCCGTGCCTAGCTCCAGTGGGAACACAGGGTTACATGGCTAATGAGAGGAAGAGGTGACTTGGCCAGTCTTTAGTGAAAGCTAATCTCCCCTGGCCAACGTCAGCAAGACCGCTCTGGGATGCTGTGTCAGAAAAAGGAAATTATAAAATGAGAGGGAAAGTAGCTATCAAAGTACATAACGAGTTTAATTCACCCTGGAGTAAACCACTGTTAGGAACAGATGAGCTGCGTTGTGCTTGTCTTATTACCTTTTGTAGTGAATGGAAGAGATTAAAAGAGAGCTCTGAAGAGAAGATAAATATTTGAAATGATAATTAGCCTTACCTTGATCATTCACAATGTAGACATGTATCGAAACATTGGATTGTACCCCCTAAATGATACAAATGCTATCTGCCATGTAATTAAAATTTGCAGAAGAGCAGAGAGGGAGAGAGCACCTCATTCTATCCTTACAGTTTAGTGTACTGAACCCCAGGCCAGAGTCCCAGGTCAAGCAAAGGGCTCTAAGGAGTTAGTAGAGGTACTGATGCTGGAGATGAGCATTGCAGTCAAAACTAGGAAGCTTAATTTGGAGTAAAGACAATGATGGGAGGCATGTTTAAGACTCACAAGTAGAACTGGATTGGAAGAAGAGCCTAGAAAATAGTGCCTGCAATACAATAGCTTCAAACTTAAACTTGAATAGCTTATATTTATGCCCAAGGTCAGATTCTAAATATTTTCTAAAATAAAGGGTTCTCTAGAACTGTACTCATGACTATTTCGAAGACCTTATTATAGCTGGAATTAAGACCTACTAAATAACAAAGTGGCTCCAAAAGAAAGAAGCAACAGAACTGGTATAAGCATTGTCGATGATGTAACAGATCTGGAATTTGAGATTTCATGTCCCTTAACAATCCTGTCTACTCTAAGTGTCTATTTCAGTCTCAAACTTTGGGTCATTTGTTGAAGGTTGAATTTTGCCTGCTCCTGTCTTTCCCATAGGTAAGGCTTTTCTTATTTGTTTTCATATATAGGGAGGGAGTAGGGTTAAAAGATAGTCAATAAATCATGTGAGTCATGGAAGATATGATTTGAACTGAAGTGTGGAAGAGAACAATGAGACATCTTATTTTGTAGACCATTTCTGTGCAACCAAGGAGTTAAGTCTGTTGCCTCCATGTTTTGAGAAAAGCAAAAGAAGAATGAGTTCTCCCTGGGATAAACCAGACACTTTAGGTATAACCCTGTTTTGTGGCTGAAACATGCGCAGTGTCCTTTGCCATACAAAGTTATTAACCCATCAGTGAATTCATTGCTCTGATGAAAATTGATTTGGATTAAAAAAACAAATCAAGAGTTTGTGGAAATCTTGCTTTTGTACTCTATTCTATTCAAAGTTCAGATTTAACCAGCTTCAGATACAGGGTAAGGGGAAACTACCAGATAAGTAAAATTGTACAGAAAAGGTTTTCAATGACAGTGAAAGTCCTAGAAGTTGAGAAAGGAGTTCTAACACTGGAGACCTCCACTATCTCCACCCTCTCCATCCTCTTATTTTCTCTGCCCTGCATTTCTAAAACAAAATTTATCATTTCTTCTCATCTCAACTACCTATTTATTCCCTGATCTCCAGAACTTGTGATCCTGAGACAGAATAGTACCTGCAAAATTTTGTCTTCAGGTAGAAAAGCTCTATGAACATGGCACTGTCATCTGTGATATATGCATTATAGGGTAATGCACACAGTCTGAAAAGCACATAGCCCTTGGGGACTAGCTCCTGCCAACAACCCTTCTCTGCAGCCCTCAGATCCATTTGTTACTTAGAGAAATGCCAAGTGGTTCTGCTGTTTATGGATGAGGCAAGAAGCTTTTTACACTCCCTGTTCCCTGGTGGCCACCCAGAAACCCCTTTCCTGAGCCCCATACCACCCCCTTTCCCATTCTGCCAGTGACTGTGTGTCTCATTCTAACAAATGCATCCAGTGAGTGCTTCTAAATCTGCCCAGGGTTTATGGAGTGTCAGTCTTTTCCTACAAACATGCTGCAAGGAAAATTGGTTTTGAAAGCCAATGTATTTCATCTGGAAATCAAACCAGGTAAACGTAGACAGGAATATTCTACCATGCCACACACACAGACTCATCATGTGGTGAGTAATTAGCTGGAGGCCCTGGGGGTAGGGAGGGGAGAGAAAGAGAGACAGACAGCCACAAAGACAGACAGAGACAGAGAAAGAGGAAGAGAAAGAGAGAGAGATTCCTGTAAAAGCTGTTCAGTCTAGCATGGACCAGAGGCACTTATCTGATACTTCCTAGAGCCTTTCTGGAAAAACAGAAGACTCAGGAAGAGGTTTTCAGGAGATGTAGCTGACAGATTCATAGGAACTCTGGCTGGATATGCACCCTCTGATACAGCCTAGCCTAATTGAACAGCCTCATGCAAGTAGTCTAACCGGTTGTTGACACAATTTTTTTTCCTAAGACTATTGATCAGAATCTCCCTATTTTCTGAAAATGTAGGAAGAACTTGAGTGTTAGATATATTAAAGAGTTCAAAGCCACAAGTGATAGGACTCTGTCAAGTATCAACTCACACTAGCTGAAAAAAAAATCACACTAGCTCCTGAGAAACAGTATGTGATTTCTGATTTCCAAGCTACCTGGCTTCCCTCTGGATCCCATGTCAATTCTGTTACTGTGTTTCCCTATGCTAACTCTGAGTGAGGAAGGGAAAGGTACGCTAGATAGGAAAGACTTGGATTCTGCTTTCTAAGCATCTAGGTAGCTTTATCCTTAAGTAAGAAAAATGAATTATAAAAATACATTCCAATTCTATAATTCTATTGAGCCTTCTTTACAATATATTCCCTTGTCTCCTAAATTGTTTCATGGATCTCTTCATTATGTGTCTTAAAATGTACCAAATCTGGGGTTTGATCTCAGGGCCTCACACTTGCCAAGCAAGTGCTCTGGCACACCATCCACTCCATCGGTCTCTGTTTTGAATTGGTTATTTTTTGAGTGAGGGTCTCACTTTATGCCTCTTTATTTTATGCTTCCCTGTGTTGTTGGGATGATAGGCAAATGCCACTGCACCCGGCCATTGATTGAGATGGAGTCCCAAGAAGTTTTATGCCCAGGCATGAAACCACAATCCCCTGATTTCTGCCTTGCAAGTAGCTTAGATTATAGGATTGAGCCACTGCATTCAGTTCTAATCTTGATCTCACAACACACACACACACACACACACACACACACACCTCACAAAAGTCAAGTTCTTTTCCTCTTGCAGCAAAATTTCAGACACCTTACCAGACCTGGATAAGACCACAGACCCTCTAATGAGCACTTTACATATCCCAGATTTCTCTGCTCTCATTGGATAATGGCAGGAAAGCAAAGATTAAGTGAACTAAAGAGTCAGTGATTCCTTTGGCTTCACATGCCAATGAGGAGACACTGTTGTTAATAGAGACAATTCCATGATTTGAAGATCAAAAGCCAGTTTTTCTCCCATCAAGCATTTTTCCCTTTGAGCTTCTGCAACATCACACAGCAGCTGTTCCTCACACAGTTTAGAGCCTTCCTCAGCCCTGGCTTATTGTACCTGTCATGTGAGGGTTTGCAATGCCAGGAAAGGATTCCAGGGTTCAGTTTGTTTTCTAAGACTCGAACCTAGTTTGAAAGCCCTTTGATGCAGCGAGTCTGCAGCAATCCCCTAAATAGGAATCAATAAATTCTTTTTTCCACCTGCCAAATCCCACTTAGCTCTGGGCATAGTAGCTCAGAAGGGGTGTGTTTTAATATCAGCTCCAGCGAGTGGTAATTGTTTCCTAATGTCTGAGTGTAAATACTCAATAATTGTTTCCATATCACTTTCCTGATATTATTCTAAATGCCCAAATCATTTG